CCATAATTACTATATTTAGTGCGGGGAAAGGAAGGTAGAAAAGGACAGATTTTTTTTTTTTTATACTTATTTTGGAGTTATGTTCCTAGAAAATAGTGAATAATATTGCGTAACCTACGTTGCGTTTCTCTGTGTAGACCTCGTTTTGATCTCTTTTGCTGAGTTTTTTCTTTCTCTGGTCTCCGGCCTGCTTTGTGTGAAACTGCTCTCAATATTTCTGGTGGTTGTGTTTTTCTTTTTCTCCTCTTTTGTTTCCTCTTCTGTCTTCTTTGTAGATTTATCTGATTCGCTTTTTTCTTTCTTAGTTCTTTCTGCGAGCGGCTTCGAAGGGGTTTCTGGTGCGCTAGTGGGTTTTGGGAAATCTGTTGATTCAATACTTTTTTCAAAAACCAATATCTCTTCCGCTGTGTATCCTATATTGTTTCTATAGAGTTTTTCTCCTCTTATGAAGCTGCCTTCTTCACCACTTTCTCGTATTTTCTTTAGGTATTTTCTCAATATCTTATTTGATTCCTGTTGTTTTTTTGTTAAGTCGGCTGAGATAGATATGTTTGTACCTTTAAGTTTTTTGCAATTTCGTAGTATATTGATTTTTGTGAGGGTTGATAGAAGTTCAATTTTGATTGGGCAATCTTTAGACTTACCGAGTGGATAGATGTTATTTATATCAGCTCTTGTTATATCGACATCAAGTTTGGAGTTTAATTGGTTACATACATTTTCTACAGAGGATTCCTCTTCGCTTCTCATCAATCCAAACACTACTAGGTTATTTTTCCTGCTGTTTCTGTCCAATAGCTCGATCTGTTGTTTTAGCTCTGTATTTTCTTTTTCTAGCTTCCTTATTTTTTCACTAAATGATTCTATTTTTAAGAGCAATCTAACTTCACTTGCTTCAATTGCGTTTTTGATTTCTTGTTTGCTAGCCAGCACTTCTTCATGCAATATTTCCATATTTTATATGCGATCTGGCAACGTTGCGGGGTCGTCCTACCGCAAGGTACGGGATTTGTTGTGGTCCAAAGGTCAAATCTCAATGGAACTGGGCTACTTTGTTGTTTCTTTATATCATCACACGAAAACAGTCTGCTGAGTTTTATACACTTACTCAGGTGTTGTAATGCCTTGTAACAGGATCCCAACAATTTTGACTTTTTTCAACTGATGTTTACTTGAATTATTTGATTGTTTTATAGCTCGAACATGAAAGAACAGTGTCGACAAATATAAAAAATATTATTTAATCATATTTGTTTACCTACGGCGCATAGCGGGCTCAAATGTTATCTAACCGAGAGAACACAATTCGTCAAATTATACATAAATAACACTAACCAATATTCGGACACTGTAATGACAACCAGTGGAGTCCCCCAAGGCAGTATACTAGGACCGATCCTATTCCTTGTTTTCATAAACAACATTACTGATATAATAGGTGCTAGTGATTCTTCAATGATAACATTATTCGCTGATGACACTAGTGCAGCAATCGCCGGTAAAAGCATACCTGGTCTCATTTTAAATTAGAAAAAAACAAATTCCATTAATTTCACACCAATAGGTGTCAAACCAGACTACAGCCTTCTGCTGAAATGCGACGGTGAAAGCATAATTCCAGCTGAGGAAGTTAAGTTTCTGGGTCTAGAGTAGGCCCTGGTCTACGGCTTGATCCAGGGCCTACTCTCTTGATCCCTCTTTTGATCCTCATCTTGCATGGGACAACCACAGGTCATTTGGTAAAAAACCTAGCGTTATACAATTAAGAAATCGTGTAAATCTCGACACCCTCAAAATATATTACTATGCTGCAGTTCACTCAATAATATCATATGGACTGATTTGCTGCTACACCTCAAGCCTAGCTTTTCCTGTAGAAAGTTTTTCGCGACACGGGTATTCTAACTGTATATAACTTGTATATTCTCCAGTGTCCTATCTACTTGAAGAAAGCTATTCATAATTTCCAAACATGTGGGGAAAGAAATCCCTATTGTACTAGAGCTGCAGATACAATTTTTGTTCCACCTTTCTCACTAACCCAAGTGAAAAATGGTCATTAAACTGTACAATCACTTACCTCGTTCAAATACTCAGATTAGCTGCTTCAAACAGTTCAAGTCAAAAATTACAATTTTATTGAAAGAAACCCCTTTTTACTCCCTGCAAGAGTTCTTTGAATACCAATTTTAACATATTCAATGTATGCATGTAGATAATGTTATGTTAGTGATCTTATTACTGCTAGTATAACATACAGGGTGAGTCATTAGTGTGGCAAAGTGAGATAACTGCTTTACTATTTCAGATAGATGAATAAAAATTTCAGAGATGATCTAGGATCATGAGCAGCACATATCCAAATTATTTCGCTTTATACAGGGTAACTCAGAAATGCGTGGCGTATTAAAGTTATACTTTTTCTTATGGGACACCCTGTATTTCATTGTATTTTCGCATTCTTCTTCGTGAGCTGATTTCATCATTGCATCACACTTGGGGTCTAGCGATAATGATTACAGAGATATAGGGTGTTCAAAATCCAGATTTTTCAACTTTAGGATTTTTTTGCGTCGAGACTATTCATTATTGGTCAAAACGGCTTTCATGTCCCTATCCCAACTTTTGATTTACTATCTACTGATATTCAATTGGAACAGATACAAGAGTGATCAGAATGCTGAATCTTGAACCACAAACTCAGTGCGGATATGGGTGTTATCCGCACGGCGTGCAGATAAGTAAAACTACCCAAAAATCTCACTGGTATGGAACATTTTTATTCATTTTAGTTGCTGTAGACTATTCTATGCACTATAAGAAGCCGTTATTCCTTTTACTTTTCAACCGTTCTTCCCGATATTTGTATTTCACCTCAATATAAATATTAGGAACAAATGATTTAATATTCTATCATTATATTTTATTGATATGTAATTGTTTGTTGTTTAGCTACTTCTATCAAGTTTAACTAAAAATTATTCAATAAATTGTAATTTGAGTTAAATTTTTTTTTATTTTCGTTGTTATCTGATATGAAGCTCGTACGGAATATGTGATTTCCTATTATTATATTTTATTGTTATATGTGATTGTTGTATAGTTACATTTTTCAATAAGTTATATATTTTTTTTATTTCCCTTTTCATCTGATATGAATAAGCTCGTAGGAAAAACGTTGTTCCTAACACGTGCGCAAAGTGTCTTTTCCGCACGCAAAAACTTATTCGAACACCGCTCCGCGTCGTTCGCCTAACTGTATTTGCGTGCGGAAAAATAACACTTTGCGCACTTGTTAGGAAAATAACTATTTTTATATAAGATAACGAAGTTGATGTCCACTTCCGGTATAACTGAAAGTGCCGCCATCTTGGAAATATTCTCATTAGACAGAACCCAATTGATAACCCCTGTATACAATATTCAGAGCTCGAAATACCACAAAAATAGACCTATGTCCTATTATCCTGGGGATAATTAGTCTAAGCCTACTACCGATATGTAATGTGAAATATTACGACACTGATTTCAGTTTCATAATTTTAACTCCCAATTTTTCACTCAAAGAAAAAAGAATTGAGAACTATAATAATCGATCATAAAATATAGCTGGTACTAAAGTTCGAATTGCTTCATTTGCCACAATTTTTATATCTGAATCTATAATTTCGTGATCGGAATTGGTGTCGATAACTTTTTTTCTCAAATTGAAATGAACGCGTCAAAGTAGAATGAGTGACAACAGAGAACACAATAGACAGGGACGTCATGTCAGTGAATACCAGGGGGGGTCAAAAACTCTTTTACACTGGATATACTCCGCAGACGAACATTTTTTTGAGTTCAAAGTCAAATATCGTCAGATTGAAAATTTGATTCTTCCCAGAGTGATAATACAACTCTATTTCAGTGGTCAAGACACTCAGATGGTACCGTTTTCCGTATACGTCTAAGGTACCATCGATCGTGGGCCACCCTGTATAGTGGTCGACTGGGATATTGACTCATGTTTTCAATTTAGCGAAGTAGGTAATTCAGAGATTCCCTGAATCCCTCAAATATTTTCATCCCATCCAAATCAACAACTATCACTCATAATAGCAAATAAGTTTCGTTAATATTGTCAAATTGCTGAAAGCGCCAATTTCCATATTTTAGGAAAATTTGTCTTTTGCTTCCTTATTCAGGTATATTCATTTCAATGTTTGATATCTATACTATTATACTGAATGACGTTTAAAAAATTTTAGAATAATATATATTTTACGATGTCAAGTACCTACTGGGTGCAATACCAATGTATATACCGTCATGTGGTTCAGGGTTATTCTAAGTAGAATAAATTTTATTCAGAAATAGTTATCGTCATTTGGTAACAGGGATATTCTGAGTAGAATCAATTTTTGTAGAAAATCGGGAGAGGGCAATTCCCCCCCCCCCTACTCACCCTAAGTGACGCCCATGACAATAGATTCACGGCAAGTATGTATACGCCCAACCTTTGCATTGCTTGCATGTTACATATTCCCATAATAAATCGTTAATTCAAGGAATATTTACTATTTTTTATTAAATAATTAGCGTTTTTACGAAGGCGTAGAAGGGCCACAAGCAATTTTTTTTTTGAATCCTGACTTTAATCTCGGGCGCTCGACTTTAATCTCGAGCGCCCGACTTTAATCTCGGGCGCTCGACTTTAATCTCGGGCGCTCGACTTTAATCTCGGGCGCTCGACTTTAATCTCGGGCGCCCGACTTTAATCTCGGGCGCCCGACTTTAATCTCGGGCGCTCGACTTTAATCTCGAGCGCCCGACTTTAATCTCGGGCGCCCGACTTTAATCTCGGGCGCTCGACTTTAATCTCGAGCGCCCGACTTTAATCTCGGGCGCCCGACTTTAATCTCGGGCGCTCGACTTTAATCTCGGGCGCTCGACTTTAATCTCGGGCGCCTGACTTCAAAGTCGGACGCATGACTTTCATATCGAATATCGAGTGACAGTTATAGTTCTGTGAAGTCGTTGGCAAGGTTTAACAACTATTAATTGAATTCTTCGTCTTGACTCGCATTTTCCACCGCTTTGGTGAATATGGGCGATGTAGCAGTGGTGAGTTTTTTTAATGATTACTTGGGCAATTGAGAAATAAATCTGATTTTAGGAAAGAACTACAGAACAATTAGTTCATCAATATTTTTCGCTGGGATTCGAACATAAGGAAATCCTCAATTATTTAAAAATATTACATAATAGATGTATCTCATTGCGTACATTGAAAAGGATTTTAGCCAAACTCCATTTATATAGAAGGAAACATTTTTCTAATATTGAGGATGTTGTTAGATTCATGGAGGGCGAAATTGAAAAAGGCTCCCAATTACACGGATATAGATGGTTTCACCTAAAATGTCTTCAGAACGATTTAGTGGTTAGTCAGTCCATAGTTCGAGAGCTATTATGTTATTTAGACCCTCATGGAATGGAACTTCGTAAAAGAAAGAGACTACGCCGTAGGCAATATTCCAATAAAGGACCCAATTATTTATGGCACATGGATTCTTATGACAAACTGAAACCATATGGTATATGCATTAATGGTTGCATCGATGGATTCTCACGACAAATAATTTGGCTTCAAGCAGGACCTTCATCGAGCGATTCCAAGGTATATATGAATCCATAATTTTTTTTTCAAAACATTATATAAGCTATAAAAAGTGTTTCTTATAGCACAGTTGAAAGAATTATTCTTTCAACTGTGCTTATAGGTCTTATATCAAAAGGTCGGTGTATTTTTGGGGACAATGAAATTATGTATCAAAATGTTTGCTTTATATCAATATATACATCAGGGTGTTCAAATGTCATGTACATATTGCAGGAGGTAGTTCTTTAGCTCATTTCAGGACTAAGAGTTCATATAAACATTTGTAATAATTTGATTCGTTTTCAAGGTTGGAAAAACACAATGAGTTTTATTCAATTATAAGGAAACTGCTGAACAACAATCGAAAAGATTTCAACGAATTGGTGACACTCTGAGGGCGCCGTTAGGAGGATATTATTGTTTTATTTTCACTAGCCAAGGAATTACCTCCTTCAATATGTACATGACAGTTAGGTATATATATGTATATACACCGTGTCTCATTTCAAACGGCCCCCCCTCTATATCTCAGCTATTAGTCATGCGATGACAACTAAATTTGGGCTGGTGTGACCAACCGTTAATATGATTAGTTTTACAGAGATGAATATTATTTTGGACAGTGCCGTGCGTTCCATGCCAAATTAGGACTGGTATTGTGAATAACTATCAATTTGACCAGTTTTTCAGAAACAAACATAATTTTAGACAATGCCGTGCGTTTTTAATAAAAAGGGTCGATTGTTCATAAGATCATATTAGAAATAATTTTTTTACCCAAAAACTAACATTAAAATATTGTTCTTTATGGTTTTGCACTCTCATAAGTGAATTTTCATATAGTTTCTATGAAAGGTTTCAGAACATCAGGCAAATCTAAACAGCATTTTTCGAACGTAAATAATTATTTACTCGGAAACAGTGCGTTTAAAAATATCTTGTTATTACTTTCAAACCATAATTTTCTACCTACTGGAGCTATTGAACGTGCCGAAATTTGTATTTCATTTGAATTCACTATTTTTTCGAGGCAGAAAATGAAAAAGCCTGCCAATCCTGTTAATTCGGAATGAAGTGCTATTTTGCATATGGGGGTTCTATAGCATGAAGAACAATAGTATGAAGTGAGTTTTTCACAACCTCTGGGTTACATGCCCAACGCTCTGCCAATTGAGCCAACGGGTCGTCCGTCGATCAATCGGCAGTAAGCACATGGAAACTTCAAACGCAAATATCTTCGTAATCGTTTGAAATAACCCAATCAAACCCGGTATCGTTGAATTCGTTATGATAATCTCTAACCGATTATGTTAAACGATACCGATTTGAAAATCGGAAGTTGGGGTAGTTTTTGGTGTAACCGGAAGTGATGAGAGAGTATGAAATATCTAGAAATTTCACAATTTTTGAATTCATATAACACCCTTGCTAAGTTTGAATATCATACCTTCAGTACTCTGGAAACTATGGCTTGTCTAATGAATACGTTGACACCCGGTTTAGGTCAAATATACCCTTATCGAATTATCACCCTTCGTCATTTACAGGTTATTGGTGGATATTACATGAATGCTCTAAAGATGATCAAGGGTTGCCCCAAAACTCTCAGAAGTGATTTCGGTACAGAAAATACCTTAGTTGAAAGAATGCAAAAAGCTCTTCATCAAACTTTCAACGAAGCCACATCTGAGAGGCCACCTTTCCTTTACGGAAGCAGTACACATAATCAACGCATAGAGGCGTGGTGGTCAATACTTCGGAAGCATAATGCACAATTCTGGATTAACCTTTTCGAAATGCTAAGAGATGACAATCTCTATGATGGAACATTTTTAGACAAATCTCTTGTACAATTTTGCTTCATGCAGCTTGTACAGGTAATTATTTCAGTTTAATAATAATTCTAAAAATTATATCCACATAATTTAGAAGGGAAGCGTGCCCCTATAAATTACTGAATATCACAAATTAGTGTCTCTTCGTGAAAAACAATAGTCGGTTCACTCGTCGTATTCGGAATATGCCTATATATCAAAATATATCTGAAGAATACAAAATTCAGTGATCTGATTATTGTCTTTTCAGACGCTCTGTCCATTCTGTTTGTCAAACCAATCTATTTAAATTATAAGTACAACTGAAAACAGTTCATCCACGAAAACGCCCTTTCGATTTATATTTTCTTATAATTTTACTATCTTAAATTTGGCTAAATACAAAAACAGACAAAAAACTTTCATTCACTTGGATTCATATAATTTTGTTTCCACTTCATCCATCAAAATATGTTTTATGCGTAAAGTAGCACTTTAGCGCTCTAGGGCGTAAAATGTGTAAATCGGTCGGTAAAGTAGTCCGGCGGGCTGTAAAGTAGGCGAACGGGCGATAAAGCAATTTCACTGTTTTTGCAGTAATTGCTAGTAGACTTCTATTCGATCTTTCTTCGCCAGTGGCATATATAATTTGTCCAAAAGGATGCATAAAATGTTGTATGTATTTCGGACGTAACTTGCTTTTATGGACCTAGGCGTGTTAATAGCCCTCGCTATCGCTCAGGCTTTTACTTACACGCTGCGATCCATAAAAGCCTACTTTACGCTCTTGACATAAATAACTATTTGGTGGCGAAACTATTCTTTATAAGTAGGTCGAAACGACTTACATGTCCCTACTTAACTTCTGATTTACTATCTACAGACATTTAATTGGAACATATACAGGGTGATCAGAACTCTGAATCTCGACTTGTTACAGCGTTTTTTTAGAGCCGTTGTTTCGTTTTCAATGCCCTACGCTGTCTAGTGTTTTATGGGAGGTGTTTATCGGAGTAGACCTGCTCAGTAATATTGAATCAGATCGTCATAACCATGGTACTTAACATATTCTGTTCATTTTGGAGTGAAATTTTCATTTTGCAATATTTGATAAAAGTCTGGAATTAGGGCCATAATATTTCCTTTCAAAAACAACAACCATCCGATGTAATCATTATTTCAGAGGGACCTTGATGAAGTTGTGCTGGAGTGGAGTGTTCATAAAATACGTCCTTCAAGAAATAGTAATAGTCCCTCTGGCAGACCATGTATCATGTTTGAAATGCCATCGTTATACCAGACACGGAGCTATCTGATAGAAGTACCATCATTCGCTCTGGACGCACTCAGTTTAGATTGTTTATTCCAGGAATATCCTTGTGACGAAGAGTTTTATCAATTATGTGGTATACTCATGGCAGAAAATGATTTGAGAGCTGAAAACGATCCATATAGTGCGATAGACTTGTATATGAATTTAAGAAGGATATTAAAGGAAATTTTTGTCTGAAACGTTGTTTTATTAATAACATTGATTATCCAGAGACACTTTGAAATTACCAATGAGAGGAGGGTGCAATTTATGATAGGAATTAACATAACAGAGAATTATTTCAGAACGAAGTCAAAATCAAAATCATCCACTTTAAAATTTACCTACTTTATGATTTTTGGTCAGAATTTCATACTCATCAAGATTGCTAATAACGAGGATTTGGACCATATGTATCACATATGGTCCAAATCCATGTAAAATTTTTATCTTGGGCATATGAAGTTATTTTATTGAAATTCAACAATTCCTTAAACGACAGTCGAAATTTTTTATTCGTGGTCAGAATATCTCTAATACTTTATATGGAATTATTAGGGTGATGGATTATGACTAAATAACAAGTAATTTCAGTTTGATGGATACGTTTTCTAATGTATGATAATAAACTTACCTCAAATTCTTGCAACCATAAAAAGGTAAACATGCATAATTACAGACTATACTTGTACAGATTGTTTATCGAATCGTTACATATTCGAGAATTGAGAAAGGGTGGCATTTGGCAACATCGCAGTTACGGACAGATGAAATATCAATCGGTTTATGACATCAATTATCAATACTCAACCTAAAAGTAATAACCTAAATGTAGAGGTTCCTGAGATATTTGCAAAAAACTGAGATAATATTGCTAAGTGTTCAAGATGGAAATTAAAATTATAATGCTGAATTTTGATCATATATTCAACTACTAAACAAATATTTATTGTACCTATCCCAAGCATGGTTACACATCAAATCATAACGCAATATAAAGTATTCACCTTGAAATAACGTGTGAAATAAAGAAGTCAGTTTGTCGATCTACTTCTGACTCACCTGTAGGTACTATAGTTTTAATGTTTTCAACAATAAAAAATATTCAGGAGGTTGAGAATTTTTTTTAATCTCGTAAAAAATCAGCGTTATGCCGTTGTGGCACGTCGAAAATTGATCTCAATATACTCAATATTACGCCAAGACATCTCTTTAGTTTTTCGCAAAAATATCTCAGAAGCCCTAACATTCAGGCATGTGGAATATTCATTACTTCTAGGTAAGGTATAGATAAGTCAAATTGATGTCATACACCAATTTGACAATTCGTTTTAAAAAAAAAATACGAAGGAGAACGTGGCAACACACGATCATAACTACGCCACTGACTTACGTGATTCAAAAATGGGAATAGTATACCGAGTTTAATTTATTTTTCCTACAGGGGGAAATAAATTGATATAAAACCTATTTTTTTCGATCTTCCGACATGGATGTATTTTAGGACTTTAGGGCATAACTACGATAAGAACTTTTCACCTCAAAAAGAGGTGAGGAATCGAAGGAAATCGTATAATATACGATGTTTGCCGGTCGCATTCTGATTCACGCCTACGTAGTGTGGAAAAGCTCCATAGCTCAAGTGTAAAGAGAGATAGACAAAATCTTTCTGGGGTTAATGATATTATGATACAATATCGTGAGGTCTACAAATCAAAATTATTTTGATCTCTACAGGATGTGCACGAGCTCCGATGAAACTTCGATTATCGCTTTAATGAAGTCATAATCGAGAGTTATCTTACAGGGTGATTTATAATGAACTACCAATTTTGACTTTTTCGACTGGTCATAACTTTGTTATTTCAAATGGAACACCTTATATATTTCATACCTATTCACATATTCTCGTATCTGATGTCATATTTCTTATATTATTAGTCTGTATTTTTCGAGATATGAACCTATTTTTCTCGAATTTTCTCTTTCGCATAATAAATACTGAACATTGAACAATCTATATGATCATTGCTATAATTTTAGTCTAGTAGGCAAGCCGTTCGAAAAATATAGACAGAAATGCTACAATTGATGAACAATATTGTTTCAAGCCATAGGCGAATTAGAAAAAACACATTATTTTGATAAACACCCGTGATTTTATTAATTGAGTTGATTTAATAATTCTGTCAAATAAATAAGTTTTTGTGGAACGTACGAATGATCTCGATATAATCGATATCATTTCGTCGATATTATCATAGTATCATTACCTATGATAATTTTGCAATAATTGCTATTATACAGGGTGGCATTGGAATACGTGCAAATATTATCAGCACATCAATATGATACTGTCTAAAAAATATTCCCATGATATCAGATTTTGTCTAATTCTCCTAATTTACGAGAAATTTCATCCCAAAAATTTAACAAAAAATTAGAAAAAAATCAAGTACGCCACTTTAAAACAATTTAAATCATTGAATTCCTTGTGATTGTGCCTTCCGCACATCAGGAATTTGAACAGAGGTGACATCAGAATAGTGTAAAAATTTGGGTGGAAAAAGGGGTCTAACCTCAAAATTTATTTTTATCCCCATATTTTTTTCATTAGTGCCATTCGATAGTATACGTCAAGCTTTTCATCAGGGTTTGACATATTTGCGCTTATTTTAATGTATATATGAGCTTAAGAAATGGAATAATGTGAATATTGTACAATACATGATATATGAAATATTTTATTTTATAATTACATGGCAAATGAGTTCTTTCGTGTCTTATTATCACAATCCTGTTCAGGAGAATATATTCTGGGATTTGTGCATAAAAATCGATAAAACTTAAATATTTATTTTTCGAAATACAGCAACAAAAACATAGTTACTAAATATGTTGAAATAATATATCATAAAAACTTAACAAACATTCATATGTATGAGAATGTCTAGTGAGCTGCTGGCAACATTTTTAGGTTACGAATGTGGACTCTAGACTCAAGAGTAGTCTACACTCTAGACTCTAGAATGAATCTTTATGCTCTAGAGTCTAGAGTCTAGAGAATACAGTTTCAGAAATCACAGACTGTAGGAGGTTTGAACGAAATCTACTCGAGGCAGTAGACCAGCACAAAATATTACAGATATACGCGGTTATATTCGAGTATTCAACTGGACCATTGTGAAATGTATTTTCCTCTCTCTTCGTTTCAATCGTTGGCTTCATCTTACATTCACAAATTTGAATATTGTAACTGAAACTGTATATTATGCAAGCTTCCATCTTTCGTAGTAAAAATGGGTTAAACAGTAGGAAGGAGAAACATGCTACAGTGGTCTAATTCGATACTTGATTATACAACACGTGTATGTATTGGTTCACTATAGCTCGACTAAATTGTATACAAACCTATTATTGTAAATCCTATATTATAATGCCAATTTAATTTCCTAATCTGTCTAGCTATAATATACGTATTACTCAAATTGTCCTCACTAAACAAATTCATAGTAGGTTTCAAGCGCCAAACTCGAATATAAATAAAAAAATAAAAACAACTTATTCGTGAAAAGAGGGTTATCTTATCTCCGAGGACATAATATGCCAAAAAATCTGACTGGTGTCATCGAGTGCTAAAAATATTATAGCCCCGAAGAAAGATGATTTCATTCCGCCAAGGATTACACTAAATCCATTATCCAAATATTTGAATTCAAAATAGAATTTAACTCGCTTCGTAAAATAATGAAATTCTCGTATGTTGATGACAGTTGCAGTAGTCCGGAGCATGTATGTGCAATGGGTAGTCGGTTGATACCAGTTGTTTCTACGAAAGCTACTTTTATACTCATAATTGGTAAGTTTGAGCCGGTACAGTATCTGAAAAAAGCTTCTCTTATCGTATCGTCAGCTTCTTTTATGAATTTTTTTAAATAATTGAAAACAATATTTTGTTCATTTGTAATATTTGAGTTCTCGAGTTCTATTTTTTTAAGACAATTTTTAACTGAGGGTTTGATTTTTTCGTATAGCTCCAGTATTTCTTCATGATTGGTGATTTTATACTCCCATTCTTTCTGAAAGCATTTCACAACAAAAGCTGGTTTTTGAATTAGTTCTTTGTGTGCTATATCTCGCAAAAGCTGTTTGAAATTGTCCTCGTTTGGATTCCATTTAGATTCATACGTACTGAAAATTTCAACTAATTCATCTAAATCAACTTCATCAAAATTTTTTTGTGCTTGCTCAAAAACTTGTCGATCTGTATCACAAATATAATTGAAAAATTCATTAATCAGATCTTCATCATTGACATTCAGATTAAAACACGTTTTGAGAAAAACTGGAGCTATTTTAATGGGGAGATATTTCTCCAATATAAATCCTTTTAAAAAAATTTTTGCAATAGCTTTCCACTGCAATTCCCCAAAATCATGCCTAATATAAGGAACTTTCATGATAGTTCCAACTGTACATTTTTCGTAAAATGTCTGCCAGAATTCGGAAAGACATCCCTCCATACCCCACCGAAGTCTTCAGCTGATTCTTTTTCGCCTGTGGGAAGAATCAACTCTAATTTTAAATTTCCTCTGAGAAAAAAATCATCTTCGAATGCTTTGATAAGATCATCAAAAATGTTTCCCCTATGTACAGTAAGAGTTTTCTGTTCTTGATTTTCTACTCCAAAAAGTTCAGGAAATCCGAAATTATAATTATTGGATTGCTGGTAATCCTGAAAAAAATAATTTAACTAAATATAGGGTTTACACGGAATATGATCATGATACGAAATGTGGAGCATTGATATAAATAAATTCCATTACAAAATAAAAAGGATATTTCATTTTGAAAATCCCAACTCTATACCACAGTCTATACCCACAGGATTCAATACCTGCTATACAGGGTGTCCAACCGGTAAATAATTCAATCATTATAGGGGGGATTCGAAAATTTGGTGGCATACATTTCCAAGATGGAGGCACTTCCGGTTGAACCGGAAGTGACATTAACTCGAGCATTAACTTCATTTTTTCAAATAGAAGACCCTGTATATTATTGCATTTTTAGATTCTCCCTGAAGATCTGCATTCAAATCGGGATTTTTCAACTGTAGGATTTTTTTGTGTCGAAACTATTCATGCATTATTGGTGGAAACGGCTAACATGTCCCTATCTTAACTTTTGATTTAATA